TCCAGTTCCAACCCCCTGCATGGGCAGGGACACCTCCCAGCAGCCCAGGCTGCTCCAAGCCCCATCCAACCTGCCCTTCAACACTGCCAGGGATGGGGCAGCCACAGCTTCTCTGGGCAACCTGGGCCAGGCTCTCCCCACCCTCACAGCACAGAATTTCTCCCTCCCATCTCAGCTCCAGCTCCCTCTGCCAGCTGGAAACCCTTCCCCCTGCTCCCATCCCTCCCTGCCCTTGTCCCAAGCCCCTCCCCAGCTTTCCTGGAGCCCCTTCAGGCCCTGGAAGCTGCTCTCAGGTCTCCCTGGAGCCTTCTCTTCTCCAGGCTGAACACCCCAACTCTCCCAGCCTGGCTCCAGAGCTGCTCCAGCCCTCCCAGCATCTCCGGGGCCTCCTCTGGCCTCTCTCCAACAGCTCCGTGTCCTTCCTGTGCTGGGGACCCCAGAGCTGTTCCCAGCGCTGCAGGGGGGTCTCACCAGAGTGGAACAGAGGAGGAGAATCCCCTTTCTCACCCTGCTGGTGACACAGCCCAGGACACAGTTGGTTTCTGGGCTGCCAGTACATGGTGCCAGCTCATGCTGAGCTTCTCATCAACCAACACCCCCAAGTCCTTCTCCTCAGGGTTGCTTTCCATCCCTTCATCCCCCAGCCTGTATGGATACCAGGGATTTCCCCAACCCATGTGCAAGGACTTGTAAAGGCCCTTGTTGAACCTCTTGTGCTTCACATGGGCTCATGGTGAGGAGCTGGGATGGATTGCCAAGGGATGTTGTTGATGCCCTATCCCTGGAGGTTTTTAAGACCAGGTTGGATGAGGTTTTGTGCAACCTGGTCGAGTGGTGGGTTCCGTGCTCATGGCAGGGGAGTTGGAACTGGATGATCTTTAAGGTCCCTTCCAACCTTCATGATTCTATGATTCTATGACTTCTCAACCTTGTCCAGGTCCCTCCGAGTGGCATCCCCATCCCTCAGGCACATCAACTGCCCCATTCAGCTTGGTGTCATCAAGAGGAGATGCAACACAACTGTATGGATCTCAAGATTCCCTCTGGTCAGACCTTCAGCTCCCTCACAAAGCACAAACAAGCAGAAACACAGAGAGAAGATGAAGGCACCACGTTCCAAGCGACCCCAGAACACACCACAGCAGCACAGACTGGCAGGGAAATAGTTTATTTCACAGAGCATTGCAGAGTTTATTTTGGTCTAGCTCTATCTTCATCAAAAAGTATCATCCTTTTCTTTTTCTTTTTTAAAAAAAGCCAATACTCAGGACGATGATGGCAACAGTCAGTGCATCACACATGGAGCTGGGGTCTCATCTTCCAAAAAGCAGGGAAAGAAAAAATGGTGAGACCACCTCTTTGTTGGATTGTTTTGGACACTTCCAAGCCTCGAAGTACTTGACCTTGTCAATAAAGTCCATCTCCAGGGATCAAAACAGAACATGCAGGGTGATTATCAACAGATGCTGAGATTTAACATCTCTCACTTGGCAAGGACAACCCACTGGGGAATGTTTCAAGACAGCACCACATCGAAGGGAGAAGCAACTTTGTTCTCAAAAGCCTTCACACCCACCAAAATCTTGCAGTTCTGCAGAAATAAAACAACACCCCACACTGTGTTTCACAGACTTGGTTTTACCATACAGAACAACAGCATCTGGGGAAGGGAAGAGAGAGCACAGACCAGGGTCTTATCCCACCTCCACTCATAAAAACCCAGGGAAGATGGAAAGGAATGAACATCTTGATTTCCACTGCTGAGGAAGGTGCTTATTCAAGCACCACAATTCATGTTGTCATTAGCAATAGGGGTATTTTTCTTTCTCTTGGCCACTTTTACCCCCAATTTTCACACACTCAGCCAGCACTCTGGGGTTTCAAAATGCTACTGGAGTGCAGCTTAAAAATAAAAATAAGACAGAGCAGCCCAGTGCTGCCCAAATAAGAAGAAACCCCTCAAGGCTGTTTTTAGCCTGACTTGCTTCTGGCCTTTTCAAGCCTGCTGTGTTGTTGTGTTGAACATGATGCACACCAGCATCCCCCAGACCATCTTTCTCCTCTGCAAGGTGACTTCTTCCAGCTGCACGTGGGCTCTACAACCCAGCTTGGCCAGCACCTGAAGACTCAGCCTCAGCTCCCACTCTCTCCACAATGAACAGGTTGGATGGTCCCATCTCTTTGGAGGCTTCAGAGGGAACTGGCACTCAACAGCATTTCTCAGGTGGTGTTGACCAAGAAGGGAGGAACCCAAGAGCAGAAGGCCACAGGGACAGAGCCAAGGCCCTTCCAGCTTCAGCTGCCCTGAGAACCAGCTCTGGGTGAACAGCAACGTGACCCAAAAACTGGCTCCTCTCCACCAGGCCTGGGAGGTCAAGAGCAGCAAGCAGAGACCACACTTGGGCTGGCTCTGAGCTGCTTCAGGGAGGGGATGAAACTCAACAACTGTTTGGTTTCTGAGTGGTTCGTTGGGTTGTTTTGTTGGGTTTTTTTCCTTTTAACCTCTGGTCTAGGGTTTTGGTTTAAAGCCTTTTGCATTGGAAACACACTGAGAGCTCTTGAAGGCAAGAGCTTGTCAGCATCTGCTGCAAGGTTGTCCCTCCTTTGGAGGACACCAACATGCAGCTTTAAAGATCCCAGTCTTAAAGCAAGGAGGAAAGGTCTCCTTGCAGGAATAAATTATAATCCAGGGCTGCTTCACCTTCCAAACTATTTACAACTCCTTCACCTGTGGGCAACTTCTTGGCCCAGAGAGAGGGAAGCTCCCACTGCAGCACCTTCCCTTCCTGGAGGGTGCAAGGACAGGGAAGGAAGGAGCAACTGGAAATGCCACTTGGAGTGGCAGGCACTTCAGCCTGGCCTGAGTGGTGATGGAGCCCATGGCATTGTTTGTTGGAAGCCAACTGGGCTGTCCAGAGAGCCCAACTCAGGGAGGGAAGGAAGGGAGGGAAGGAGGGAAAGGAGGGAAGGAAGGGAAGGAAGGAAGGAAGGAAGGAAGGAAGGAAGGAAGGAAGGAAGGAAGGAAGGAAGGAAGGGACTGAGCTGTTAACAAATGAGAAACAAAGGCCCATCAAGTTTTCCATAAAGTTAAAAGCTATTAAAATCAGTGTGGGTTAAGCCTGAATAATCTGGCTGTAGTTAAATCAACATATGAACAGTCATTTTTATCTTGTTGTGATGACAAAGTAGCTGGATCAAGCCACTGAAGCCATCTGAGGGCTGCTTATCTTATTCAGTACAATTCAATCAATCAATCATGACCCTGTTGTACCAGGGTTTTATGTTGCAAACATCATTATTGAAAGTAACTGGTGGCATAAGCAAACGTTTCTGTTTAATTCCTTGGGTATCTTTCCAGGTCATTGGATTTCAGTGGAAAGGTCCTTATTCAAAATTTGTCATGTACAAACAGCCTAAAATTCAGCATCTGACTTACTGAAACTCTCCACTTGCAGGGCTCCAATAACAGCTGCTAAAAAAATCTGAGTTTAGGAAGCCTGAGTGGCACAAGTATGAGGAACATAGTGAATTTTATATTAAAAAATGTTTATGCTTAGAGAGTCTTAACTGTAACTTTGTCAGCTGGTTACCAGCTTCTCGCAGTCTTAGTATTTTGGTTTTCACAGTTGTCATTTGTTTTAAGTGTAGGGAGGGATGTAAGGAAGATAAATCTGTTTTCTACTCTTTGTTAACAAGTAGTGTAAGATGCTGTTATTCCAAAATAATTCGCTACAGATTTTGGGTAAACTTAAAGAAAATTCAATTATGTTAACTTTTAACCTCTGGTCTAGGGTTTTGGTTTAAAGCCTTTTGCATTGGAAACACACTGAGAGCTCTTGAAGGCAAGAGCTTGTCAGCATCTGCTGCAAGGTTGTCCCTCCTTTGGAGGACACCAACATGCAGCTTTAAAGATCCCAGTCTTAAAGCAAGGAGGAAAGGTCTCCTTGCAGGAATAAATTATAATCCAGGGCTGCTTCACCTTCCAAACTATTTACAACTCCTTCACCTGTGGGCAACTTCTTGGCCCAGAGAGAGGGAAGCTCCCACTGCAGCACCTTCCCTTCCTGGAGGGTGCAAGGACAGGGAAGGAAGGAGCAACTGGAAATGCCACTTGGAGTGGCAGGCACTTCAGCCTGGCCTGAGTGGTGATGGAGCCCATGGCATTGTTTGTTGGAAGGAAGGAAGGAAGGAAGGAAGGAAGGAAGGAAGGAAGGAAGGAAGGAAGGAAGGAAGGTCACCAGAAGCCAATCTACAGCCAATGCTCAGTATTTGCCTTCAGGTCCATGGTAGGACACTGCAAGAAGGCCCATCCCCTGTGAGCATCCAGGCTTTGGGGGAAGAGGATGGGCCAGGGAGAAGATGCCCAAGTGACTGAGCCAGTGCAACCCCTTCCCTGGCTCTGAACTCCAGCAGGGAAGAGCAGTGCTATCTCCTCTCCCAGGAAAGCTTCTCTCTTCCAAAGAGCCTCTCATTGCATAAGAGCTAAAACTTCATTGCCCAGGAAAGGGGGAAAAGAGGAGGAAACCAAAAATAAACCCAAACCCAGAAGGAAAATGACACTTCACAAGAATATTACAACATTCAGCTACACAGTCGCTGCACCAAGGGGAAAAAGTAGAGCAGGGAAAGGGAGAGGGAGACACATCCAATGTGTTTTTCCCAGAATTCCCCCAAGGGGGGTCAGGCCTCAAGATTCAAATAACTTCATCCATAAGGTTGAGGATTTAATAAACACGGGATTTCCACTCATGCCCTTGGAAAAATAACACTCAAACCCCCCCCCAAAAAAAAGACCAAAACAAAACAAAAAATAATAATAATCCGATTTTTCTACATATTTACAAAAAGAAGCCCCCCCAACCTCACACACCAGGGAGGTGGAGCAGAGAGGGATGGGAGGTGGTGAAGGGGTCTCTGCCCAACAAGATCCTGAAAGGTTCCCATGGCAGGAGAGCGCGGGTCCCGCTGCCCCGGCCAGCGCGGGGTGGGACTGGAGCCCCTCAGTTCATCTGCAGCCTGGGGTCCCTGTGGTCCGTGGGGGTGACCAGCTCGTTGGCAAAGCCATTCTCAGAGCAGAGAGACAGCTCGTCCGTGGTCTCCACGCTGCTGTTGATCTCTGGGGGGAGGAGAGAGAAGGGGAGATGTTGTCGCGGGGGTGGTGGGAAGGTCAGGGCGAGTTGGTGAAGGTGGGGTGAGGGAGGTGGGGTGTTCAACCTGGAGAAGAGAAGGCTCCAGGGAGACCTGAGAGCAGCTTCCAGTGCCTGAAGGGGCTCCAGGAAAGCTGGGGAGGGGCTTGGGACAAGGGCAGGGAGGGATGGGACAATGTGGAACAGTTTTAAGCTGGAAGAGGGGAGATTTGGAATGGAATTTAGGAAGAAGTTCTTTCCCAGCTTGAAATAATTGGTTTGGGGTCAGGATTAGGTCAGATTCAGGGGTCTAGATTAGATGTTAGGAAGAAATTCCTGTGAGGGTGGTGAGACCCTGGCCCAGGTTGCCCAGGGAAGCTGTGGCTGCCCCATCCCTGGCAGTGTTGAAGGGCAGGTTGGATGGGGCTTGGAGCAGCCTGGGCTGCTGGGAGGTGTCCCTGCCCATGGCAGGGGGGCTGAACTAGATCCCTTCCAACCCAACCCATCTCCTCCATCAGCAGAGAGCTGAGGGATGAAGCCAAGGGCTCTGACCCACCAGCCCCATCCATACCCGAGAAGATCAGCTTCCCCTTCCATCCCAACCCATCTCCCTCCTCCAGCAGAGAGCTGCGGGGTGAAGCCAAGGGTTCTGACCCAGCAGCCCCATCCATACCCGAGAAGATCAGCTTCTCCTTCATGATCTTGACATCCCTGCTGGACCGGCGGACGGCAGCGCTGAGCATGATCTGCTCCGGGTTGTAGGTCCTGATGCTCCCCATGCGCCACCTGCAAGGCAAGAGTTGGGTCTCAGGGGGGGCTGGTTTCCTCAACCATGGGAACAACCTCCATGCAGGTGGCCACCAACAATGTGGAGACTGCCAAGAAGTCTCAGAGACCCTCACACTTTTATCCCTTGAACCTACACAGCCCTACGTGGCAGGAGGACGTTCAGAGATGAGCATGTTGTCTCAAAGGGGGGCAGACACACAAGCAGGTCATCTTTAACCACCTTGAACCTCTTAATTCCACTAATTTCACCAAAAACTTCAGTTGTCCTGAAGGGGTACAGCTATTTTGACTTTAAGGGCTGGGAAGAGGGAACAGAACAAGAGGCCAAGGCAAGGCAAGAAGCCACAACCTTTCCCTCCCTGTGACTTGGTCATTCCTGTGGGAGAAGAGAGACCAGAAGACAAACTAAGGTCTCAAACATGAGATGCAACAAAGACACTGTCCTCAAACAGTGGCACAGGGGTCCCCTGAGCATGATTTTTCCCGGAGAACTCCCCTCCCCACATCCCAGCTCTTTGCTTAAGTTCTTCTATCCAAACCCCCCCATTTTTAAAGCCCTGATGAAACTCAGTGTCCACCAAAAGTTGCCACCAACATGAGGCTGGTGGGAACTTGGCTTGACTTAAAACCATCCAGACTTTTATCCTCCTCACTGAATGCATGTCAAGAAATTTACTGAGGTTAAGAAGCAGCAGTGGCAGCACATTCAGGGGAGGGATTTTGCTCTTAAAGCAGTTTTTTAGCTTGAGAACACCCCTAGAGCAGAGCCAGCAGGTTGCTGCTGAAATATGGGAATAAAAAAGGCTTGGTGGGCTCAGACAAAGCAGCCATACCCAAGATCCCATTGCAAAGGGATGTTGTTTGGGCCAGGCTTTCATAGTCCCCATCCCACCGACTTGTCCCACCTCCTGAGGACAGAGGAAGGACTTCAAGTCCATCCCATTCTCCCTGCCAGCACCAAGGAAGCCACCAGGCTGTTTGGTGGAGAAACAACAGGGATTTAGGGAGACTTATGGGGTTTCTGATCTTCTGGCACCATCTAGTGGCTCAGCCACACAAGAGAAGGTGATGATGGTTTTAATTTTTTGATTTGTTTCAAATAAAGGTGAAAACCACCTTCTCTTGAAATTCTAACCCTCTCTCCAACCCCAGCAGCAGAAGATTTGAGGAGCCCCACACATCTCCAGCCTGGCTTCACAGCATCAGCCTGACACCCACCAAAGAGGTCTGCAATTTCCCCAGGAAAATCTAGCTGGAGTTTCCATCCCCTTCCCAAATCCCAGCAGGTGACACCAAGCCACCAGGCTTTGACCAAGGGTGCAGATGGAGGTGGATGCTCTGCTACAGAGAAAAGAAAAGGTGGGATGGCAACACAACACAACTCACAGACCCACAGACAGAAGCAACACAGAGGAAGCACAAGGAGGCAAAGACATTAAAGTAGCAGTATTATTATTAATAATAATAAAGTAATATTTTTCTTCTCTCATCATCATCTAAGCTGAACCATGGAAGATGACCTTTTTTCCCTTATTGTCTCATGCAGGTAGATACCACTAAGGTCAATAAGGCTGCAAGTGCACAGGATCTGAGAGCACAAGACACTCCTTGAACTATAATCAGGATCAAAACACTTTGCTACAACAAGCCTATTTTTTTTTGCCCACAACATCAGCATTTCCAGCATCAGGCTGGGTTGCATGGTCAAAAGCCACAATGATCTCTCGCCCATTAATTGCATTAAGTCCTAGATGTCCCCTGGAGGGACATGGGACATTTTGAGGCATCAACAACCCAGCCTCAAAGGGGTGCAGGGACCAACGGTTCCTCTCCTGCTAAGTGCAACAAGCATTGCTCTTTGCTCTCCATCTCTCCTGGTGGCTGCAGTCAGACCCAGGCTGGTGAGACAGACCCTGCTTTGACAGGACAAGGGGTGATGGTTTTAAACTAAAAGAGGGGAGATTTAGGCAAGAAGGAAGAACGTTTTTACAATGAGGGTGCTGGAACACTGGCCCAGGTTGCCCAGAGGGGTGGGTGGGAGATGTTCCATCCCTGGAAACATTCCAGGTCAGGTTGGATGGGGCTCTGAGCAACCTGATGTACTTGCAGATGTCCCTGCTCATGGCAGGGGGTTTGGACTAGAGGAGACTTGAGGGTCCCTTTAAACCCAAACCATCCTATGATAATCAGGATCAAAACACTTTGCTACAACAAGCCTATTTTTTTGCCCACAACATCAGCATTTCCAGCATCAGGCTGGGTTGCATGGTCAACAGCCACAATGATCTCTTGCCCATGAATTGCATTAAGTCCTAGATGTCCCCTGGAGGGACATGGGACATTTTGAGGCATCAACAACCCAGCCTCAAAGGGGTGCAGGGACCAAGGGTTCCTCTCCTGCTAAGTGCAACAAGCATTGCTCTTTGCTCTCCATCTCTCCTGGTGGCTGCAGTCAGACCCAGGCTGGTGAGACAGACCCTGCTTTGACAGGACAAGGGGTGATGGTTTTAAACTAAAAGAGGGGAGATTTAGGCAAGAAGGAAGAACGTTTTTACAATGAGGGTGCTGGAACACTGGCCCAGGTTGCCCAGAGGGGTGGGTGGGAGATGTTCCATCCCTGGAAACATTCCAGGTCAGGTTGGATGGGGCTCTGAGCAACCTGATGTACTTGCAGATGTCCCTGCTCATGGCAGGGGGTTTGGACTAGAGGAGACTTGAGGGTCCCTTTAAACCCAAACCATCCTATGGTCAGTGATATGCTGGAGGGGACAATGACTCCTCTCACGGGGGTGCATTGCTCCCATTGAACAAGCCAGGAGAGGGTGACCTCATTTTTCAGAGGTATTTGGAAATACCTTCTCAGAAGAGCCACCCCCACGTTTAACCACGACGCGACTCCGACCAACACCGCTCAAAAAATCCCCTCTGCTGTGCTCAGTTGCCTTTTTGAGCCTCCAAGAAAGCTTGTTTCATAGAAAATAGCACCTCTCCTACCCCCTTTGGACTCTGTTGTGATCGGCCACGTTTGGGACAGCAGCGTGCAAAAAGGCCAGACAGACAGCAGGTAGGTCTTGTTCTGGGAGGTTGGCATCAAAGCAGACCAGACGGACACGGGGTGGGAACAGACTAAAAAATACTGGGACAACAACAGAGACAGCACACACCAGGTTAGGGCCACGCCCTGCCCCTTGGTTTGGAGGAGAGATGCTAAATGGCACGGGAAGGGGGGTGGGAGAGGGGCAGGTTGGGGAGAAAATGGGGTTGGTTGGTGCTGAGGTGGTAGGATGGAGTGAGCAAAGAGCCAAGCCAGGCGCAACCACAGTCCCCGTCCTGCCACCACTGTTGCCTAAAGCCTGCCCAACTCTTCCAGCTGTCTTCTCCTTCCCCATGAGCAAAGGGGAGGTGAGAGGGGAGGGAAAACACCCAACCTCCCTGCAACCCATGGGAGGACTCAGCCCAGCCCTATAGCCAGGTTCTGGTTTGGGGAGATACCACGAGGACGTAAAGCCACGAGTCCCAGGTACCTCGTGGACCAGCAACGCTTGTAGGTGGTCAACCCAAAACAGTGGGTGGGCACAGGGAGCAGATAAGCACAGATAGGGAGTAGCCAAGTCCTCAGAAATTCAACCCCAAGCCACACAGCAGGAGGAATGGAGAAGGTAACACGTGGAGAGAGTCTGGTCCCAGTAGGGAGGTGGGGATGGCTTCACTGCAGGAGAGTGACAGCGCTTCCCGCCAAGGGGGTGGGAAGAACTGGTGGGGAAATGACCAGTGCAAGGAGAAATCTGGGTTTCTTATTGAGGGCACTTCAAAACCAGCATCCCGGACTCGTTTCCCATCCCTGGGTGCAACACTATTTCTTTTCACATTGAATTTCCAGTTTCACAGTGGTGCAACTGGGAAGAGACTCCTGAAATATCCTAGCCTCCAAGGGCAGCAATTGATGAGCCAAACCTTTCCAGTCATGAGCCTGATTAATTCATTCCCAGGGCTGGAGAAGAACCACTTTATGTAATTGAACAGGTTACATGATTTCTTTGAGCTTTGTCCAGTTTAGAAGACGTTGGTCTCAAAAACCTCTGGTAAGTGCAGGAAGGAAGGGGGTGTTTTGCATGGGATTATTTCCATGGAGAAAGAATTATGTTCACTAGGAATCTCCCAATTACAACACGTTGCAGGGACCTCAGAATAGGCTGGATCATTGTACCAGAAGGTCAGATGGCCTTCAAAACATCCACTGGCTTCAGCATGAGGCTCCCGTGGTGCTCATGGCTATGGACTATGTGATGTTCAGACCCTTATGGTCCCCCTGAGAAGCCAGATGTTTGAAAGCATCATGAAAAGCTGGGCCCTGTCCATCTGCAGTGAAGCCATAGCAGAGAGGGAGGAAGAAAGAGAGAAAGGAAGGTTGAATGAAAAAGAGAAAGAGGAGGAAAGCACCAGAATTACCTGATCATGTGATAGCTGTGAGATGCCAGAATGCAGCAGAGAGAGAAAGAGGAGGAACATGCACAACAGTCAGAGCAGTAAGAAAATAAACAAGGCAAAGAGGCACAAAAAAAAAAAATAAAAAAGAAGATTGGTTAGAAGTCATCACAGTTGGTATTTCCCCTCTGGAGAGGCTGCCAGGATCCTGTCACCAGGGCTGAAGCAGAAGAGCAGGAGCAATCCCTACCCCTGGCTATGGAGGAGAGACAAGCCATGCACAGGAGAGAGGACGAGCACATCCAAGCAGTGGCTCTGTTCCCACCCACCCCCTCATCCTTGCATGGAGGAAGCAGTTGTGTTTTGCACCCCCAAAAGAAGGGATTTGGGGGCAAAAAAAAACCAAACAAAAAGCCCAAACAAACAGAAAAACCCCACCAAAACCAGCAACCACAACGCTGAAGGTCACGTGCCAAACCCCATTTCCCAGAGCTGAATCACAACAGCAGGTAGTAGTTGGGCAATTCTGCTGCCATTTCTTTTGGATATAACCCCAATGTTGCTACCAAGTCCTTCATGTGGTGGAGAAACTGGAATGGCAGGGAAATAGGTCTATCTTGTTCCAAGGTTCTTTGAAGAGCAAGCCCTTGGCTGCAGAGAGCCCAGCTCCTGCTGCTGCAGTATCTCCTTCTTCCTTCCACTTGGGGCTGAGTTATCCCAAAGGAGAGATCTCAAAGAAGACTTCTGGCCCTGCTACATTGGACACATAGTGCTTCAGGATGATGGATCTTGGTGGCAGTTTCCAGCTCTTCTCACTTGTATCACACTTACAATGAGAGTAGAAAAGAAATGCTGCAAGAAAGCTTCCTTCCTTCCTTCCTTCCTTCCTTCCTTCCTTCCTTCCTTCCTTCCTTCCTTCCTTCCTTCCTTCCTTCCTTCCTTCCTTCCTTCCTTCCTTCCTTCCTTCCTTCCTTCCTTCCTTCCCTCCTTCCTTCCCTCCTTCCTTCCCTCCTTCCTTCC